TGTTGTTGTTGTTGTTGTTGTTTTGCCAATGTGCCAATCTCTGCCTTTTAACAGGAAAGCTTAATCCATTTACATTTAAAGCATTTACTGATAAGGAAGGATTTCCTTCTGTAATTTGGCTATTTGTTTTCTGTATGTCTTACATGCTTTGTTCCTCATTTCCATTATTGGCTCTAAAAAATTTTTTAGTTGATTTTTTGTAGTGTACCCATTTGATTTTCCTTATTTTTCCTTTTTCTTTATTTTTTTCAAAAAGAGTTATGTATGTATGTATGTGTGTATGTATGTATGTATTTATTTATTTCAGAGAGAAAGTGAGAGAGAGCATCAGCATGGGAGAGCAGGAGCAGGATCAGTAATGGAGAGAGAGAGACAAACAGACTCTGCTCCACTGAATGCAGAGCCCAATGTGGATTCAGTGCTGCAGGCTTAATCCTAGGAGACTGAGACCATAACTTGAGCTGAAATCAAAAGTCCAATGCTTAACTGACTGAGTTACTCAGATGTTCATTCGTCCTTCCTTCCTTCCTTCCTTCCTTCCTTCCTTCCTTCCTTCCTTCCTTTTTCCTTTCCTTTCCTTTCATTTCCTTTCCTTTCTTAAAAATTTTATTCTCTTAGTGGTTACCTTAGGGATTACAATTAACATTTTAACCTCATAGTAATCTAGTTTTAATAATACCAAGTTATTTTCAATAGTATACAAACATTTTGCTCCTCTGCATCTCTGTCATTTGTGTCATTAGTGTCACAGATTGCATTTTTATTCATTGTGTTCCCCTTAACATATGATTATTGGATTGTGCATTTGCCTTTTAAATGCAAGGTTGGTTTAACATTAAAAATCAATTATTATAATTTGTTACATGAGCATAATAAAGGAAAAATGACATCATCTCAAAAGATAATGCAGAAAGCATTTGATCAATTCAGCATCTTTTAATGATAAAAACTTGCAGCAATCTAGAAATACAGTATTCTCAATCTGCTAAAGAATATCACCAAAATATCTAAAACAACAACATAATTAAGGGTGGACAATTGAAATTGGAATTGTTATCACCACTTTTTATTAATATTACACTGAGGTCCTAGCCAGTACAATAAAACATATAAACAAACAAAAAGAAGTAAAAGGCTTGAAAAAGAAGAAATAAAAGATTATATTATTGTGTAGGTAGATAACTAAAAGAAATTATAGGTAGATTTATTTTTTTAAAAGATTTTATTTATTTATTCATGAGAGACACAGACAGAGAGAGAGAGGCAGGGACACAGGCAGAGGGAGAAGCAGGCTCCCCGCAGGGAGCCTGACATGGGACAGGATCCCCGGTCTCCAGGATTAGGCCCTGGGCTAAAGGTGGCGCTAAACCGCTGAGCCACCCAGGCTGCCCTATAGGTAGATTTAATAAAGGAATTTAGCGAGGTTACTGGATTAAAAATAAAAATACAAAAACCAATGGTGTTTTTATGTATCAACATCTCTAGAAAAAGACATTTGAAAATCATGCCATTTACAAGAGCATCAAAAAACATCAAAGACCTGTGACTAAATCTAAGGAAAGTAGTACAAGAAATTTACACACAAAACTTAACATGTTATTGAGGATATTAAGTAAAATCTAAATAAAAAGAAGGATATACTATGGTCATGGATTGAAAGACTTAAAATTGTGAAGACATTAGTTCTACACCAACATCTATTGATCTATAGATTCAATGCCATCTTAGCAATATCTCAGCAGGGTGTGTGTGTGTGTGTGTGTGTGTGTGTGTGTGTGATGCTGATTTAAGAAACACACGGAAATGCAAATAACCAAAAATAGCCAGGAAGGTTTTCAAGAAGAAAAACAAAATGGAGTGTTACCCTTTCAGACATTAAGATCTATCATAAAGCCACAGGAATTTAGACAATGTGCTGTTAGTGCAAGGATGGACTGCAATCCAGGTGGATTGTAAATATAAATTTTTTTTTTTATTTATTTATGATAGTCACACAGTGAGAGAGAGAGAGGCAGAGACACAGGCAGAGGGAGAAGCAGGCTCCATGCACCGGGAGCCCGACGTGGGATTCGATCCCAGGTCTCCAGGATCGCGCCCTGGGCCAAAGGCAGGCGCCAAACCGCTGCGCCACCCAGGGATCCCAAGGATGGACTGCAATCCAGGTGGATTGTAAATATAAAAGTAAAAGATAAAGTTTAAAGAAAGAGATTTATATTCTTACAGGAGAATATTTATTTATGTTAGAGTAAGCAAAGATTTTTAAAAGCAGAACACTAAAAAAACTATAAAGGAAGTTATTAAAGTGATCATTAAGTTAAATAATATTATTTTTTAAAAGATTTTATTTATTTATTCATGAGAGACACACACAGAGAGAGGCAGAGACACAGGCAGAAGGAGAAGCAGGCTTCATGCAGGGAGCCCAATGCAGGACTTGATCCTGGGACTCCAGGATCACGTCCGGGGGGCCAAAGGCAGGCGCTAAACTGCTCAGCCACCCAGGGATCCCCATTAAATATTATTCTTATAATATTTTAAAAGTAAGATCTTCTGTTTTTCAAAAGACACCAGTTCAGAGAATGAAAAGGTAATCCACAGAGTGAGAAAGAAGATTTGCAAAAATATAATTGACAAAAGGTCTCACTTCCAGATTATATGAAGAGTTCCTATAAATCAAAAATAAAAAGGGCACCTTGGTGGCTCAATTGGTTAAGCATCTGCCTTCGGCTCATGTCATGATCCCGGGGTTCTGGAATCAAGCCTCACATCCTGGGATCAAGACTCTCCCCTCCCTGCTCAGGGGAGAGAGTCTGCTTCTTCCTCTCCTGCCCCCCTGCTCATGCTTTTTTTTTTTTTCTCTCTCTCCTTTTTAAATAAGTAAAATCTTAAAAAAAAAAAAAAAGGACAACTCATCTTAAAAAGGGCCAAAAGATGTGACCCAATACTTCACATAAAACAATATATAATTGGATAATAAATATGAAGGGATGCTCAACCATATTAACCATCAGGAAAATGCAATTTAGGGGGCTGGGGGTGAATGGGTGACGGGCACTGAGGGGGCACTTGACGGGATGAGCACTGGGTGTTATTCTGTATGTTGGCAAATTGAACACCAATAAAAAATAAATTTATTATTAAAAAAACAAATGATCTAGAGCAAGATTAACAAATAAAAACCAATCCTAATTCCATAGGGAAAAAAAAAGGAAAATACAATTTAAAACTACAAGGGCGGGACACCTGGGTGGCTCAGAGGTTGAGCGTCTGCCTTCAGCCCAGGGCATGTTCCTGGAGACCCGGGATCGAGTCCCACGTCGGGCTCCCTGCATGTAGCCTGCTTCTCCCTCTGCCTGTGTCTCTGCCTCTCATGAATAAATAAATAAAATCTAAAAAAAATAAATAAAATAAAACTACAAGGGCATGGGGTGCCTGGTTAGATCAGTCAGTGGAGTTAATGACTTGATCTTGAGATTGTGAATTTGAGCCCCATGTTGGGTGTAAAGTCCACTCTAGATATATACTCAGCACAAATGTACACACATGGTCACTAAAAGACACAAGAAGGCACTGATTTAACTTATGAACTCGTATGCAAAAGTTCTAATAAAAATATTAGTGAGCACTCAGTAAAGATATAAAGACCAATGGGCATAAGGAAAAGGTGCTCATGAATCATCAGGGAAATGCAAATCAAAACCACAGTGAGATACCATCCCACTGTGTTTCGATGGTTTCAATCCACTCAACACGAAATCCCAGACAAAAGACACCAGGCGCTGTTGAGGATGTGGAGAAACTGGCGCCCCTTGTGCACTACTGATGATGGATAATGCAAAATGGTGCCATGTTATGGAAAGCAGTGTGGAGGTTCCTCAAACGTTAAAATAGAATTACTTTATCATCCAGTAATCCTACTTCTGGGTATAAATCCCAAATAATTGAAATCAGGATCTCCAAGAGATACCCCCACTTCAATGTTTGTTGAAGTGTTATTTACAGAAGCAAAGGCATAGCGGATGAATGGATAAAGGATCCATGGTGTATACGTATCATGGAATATTGTTCAGCCTTAAGGAAGAAGTTAGGGCAACCCGGTTGGTTCAGCGGTTTAGCGCCGCCTTCAGCCCAGGGCGTGATCCTGGAGACCCAGGATCGAGTCCCATGTCAGGCTCCCTGCATGGAACCTGCTTCTCCCTCTGCCTGTGTCTCTGCCTCTCTGTGTCTCTGTGTCTCTCATGAGTAAATAAATAAAATCTTAAAAAAAAAGAAAAGGAAGAAGTTAAATCTGCCACTCTCTCAAGCACATGAAATAAAGCAGAGGACAAAAGAACAAAGATGATTCCACTTATACAAGGGAACTGGTAAGTCAAGTGGATAGAGACAGAAAGTGGAACGATGACTTTCAGGGGCTGGGGGAGGGAGGGTTGGGAATTGGTGTTTAATGGGTATACAGTTTCAGTTATGGAGGATGGGTAAGTCCTAGAGATCTATGATAAAGCATAATGCATATTGCTAACAATACTGTATTGTCTACTTAAACTTTTTAAATTAAAAAAATATTTAATTATTTATTCATGAGAGACACAGAAAGAGAGGCAGAGACATAGGCAGAGGGAGAAGCAGGCTCCCTGTGGGGAGCCCGATGAGGGACTTGATCCCAAGACCCTGGGATCATGACCTGAGCCAAAGGCAGATGTTCAACCACGGAGCCACCCCGGCATCCCTACTTAAACTTAAAAAAATAATAATATTTATTTATTTATGAGACAGAGAGAGAGAGAGAGAGAGCACATGAGCAGGGGGAAGGGCAGAGAGAGAATCTTAAGCAGACTCCACGATGTTGAGCGCAGAGCTCCCTGTGGGGGTTGATCGCACCACCCTGAGATCATGACCTGAGTGGAAACCATGAGTGTGTCGCTTAACCAACTGAGCCACCCAGGTGCCCCTAAAATTTTTTTTATAGAGGATGGCTCTTATACTAAATGTTCTTGTCATGCTTGCTTGAGCAGCACGTATACTAAAACTGGAATAATACCAAGAGAAGATTCGCATCACCACAGCACAAGGATGACACAAAAATTCGTGAAGCGTTCCATATTAAAAAAAAAAAAAAGGTTTTATCACACAGAAATAAAGAAGGAAAGAGGAAACTTTTAGAAGTGATGGTTAAGCTTGTGACATTGTGGTGATGGTTTCGTAGGTGTTTACTTTTCTTTAAAATCATCAATATGTAGTATTAAACATATACAGCATTTTTGTACATAAGTCATACCTCAGTGAAATAAAATAAATGCAGGTTTTTTTTCTTTTTATATCACTAAAACAGAAAGTGAACTCACAATTCTTTGGTTATTTTTGTTGTTGTTAGCTTGTGATACTTGAATTGGTTTTTGTTCCTTTTGGTGAGTAATTTCCATTTTTGGAAGAATAGAAAAAACATATTTTTTTATCCTAAAAATGTTTTGGTCAAAGAGATGTCTTTACATGAGATTATCTGTGATTTTGAATAAATATTACATGTTAAACAAAAAAAAGGTCACCAAAAATCTCACTTTGGCTGCTGTGCGGAGAACAGCCTGGAGGGGGCGAGAGTGGATACAGGTAGAAAGTCAGGAGGCTTCAGGAGCTTTAGACTTTGGTTAAACCACATGAAGGTGCCTGAGGAAATGGTTAAAAGAATAGGAACAGAAACCGACATTTTCTAGGTAAGTAGAAGAAAAAAACTGGAATGAGAAAAAAATCCACAATAAAGCAAGGAGGGCGAGTAAAAGAAACAGAAAAGGAGAGATGGGGGCGATTGGATGCCTCAATAGGTTGAGTGTCATGATCCATGATCCCAGGGTCCTGGGACTGTCAGGCTCCCTGCTCAGCAGGGAGTCTGCTTCTCCCTCTCCCTCTGCTCCTCCCAACTGCTCATGCTCTCTCTCTAATAAAGAAATGAAATCTCAAATGAAAAAAAGAAAAGAAAAAGAAAAAGAGGGACAATCAGAAATCACAAAATAAATCCAAACCCATCAGTAATTGGAATGAACGCGGATGCTCTAAATCTCTGCCACCTGATAGAGTGGCCGGGGACCGTGGAGCACCTTGAAAGGTAGGCAGTCTGTGCTGAGATCCCTCCTGCGTCAGTGACAAATGCACTCCAGAATTTGGAGACCTGGAATGAAAAAAAGTGAAGCGCATCTTACTAATAATTTTATACCGATTACACCTTGAAATGAATAACGTTCTGGGTACGTTGCTAAATAAAATACATTATGAACATTCACCAGTATTTATTTATTTATTTATTTATTTATTTATTTATTTATTTATTTTATTTTATTTTATTTTCCATTCACCAGTTTTTAAACTCTTAATTGTGGCTGCTAGAAAAGATTTATATTACAGAGATGGCTCACCTTATGTTTATGTTGGACAGCATTGTTTTAAATACTCAAATTAAAATACAAATATTATCAGGCTGGATAAGAAAACTTAAGATCCAGCAAGGTGTTGTTTACATTTAGACATGTAAGATGTAACCAGTTACTAGTTAAAGGATATAAACAGCCAGGGACGCCTGGGTGGCTCAGCGGTGGGGCGCCCGCCTTCTGCTCTGCTCATGATCCTGGCGACCGGGGATCGAGTCCCACGACGGGCTCCCTGCAAGGAGCCTGCTTCTCCCTCTGCCTGTGTCTCTGACCCTCTCTCTCTCTGTGTGTGTCTCTCATGAATAAATAAATAAATCTTAAAAAAAAAAGGATATAAATAGCCAGAAAGAAAGTTGGTTTAGCCCTACGAGTAACAGCACAGAGTTTAATGTAAAAAGCATTACTAGATAAAACCACTAGAAAAACCATAAGTTTTAAGTGTATGCACTTAAAAAGTCTCAAAATAAATGAAGCAAAAATTGACAGAACTATTCAAACATGTGGGTGGTATGAATTGAGATGTGCTATTATGTAAAATGCTCTGCAAAAATTGAAGACCCAGAACGGAAAAAAAAAAAAAGGACTAATGTAAAATATCTTGTATTAGATAATTATACCACTGAAGTCAGAGATTTTAAAAACACCCCTCTTGGACACCTGCGTGTCTCAGTGGTTAAGCATCTCCCTTTGGCTCAGGTCATGACCCCGGGGTCCTGGGATTGAGCCCCCCAGTAGGTTCCCCACAGGGAGCCTGCTTCTCTTTCTGCATGTGTCTCTGCCTCTGTCTCTGTTTCTCATGAATAAATAAATAAATAAATAAAGTCTTAAAAAAAAAAAGAAACCTTGTAGGTTTCAAGGATGAGTGTGGGCATTTTGTTCATTGCCACCAAGGGGTAATAAAGAGGCATGAGAAGCCCCAACCTTATGGAAAAGCCAAAAGTCAGAAAATGTTTATTAACAGAGCAGAACACACGGAATGCAATGTTTCCATATCCAGATGAAAATAGTTACATATCAAACTTATGACATGAAACCAAAGGAAAATTTTAGAGGAAAATCTGCAGCCTTAAAGTGAAAATCAGTGAGCTAGGTATTGAACTGAGGGTCAGAAAAGAACAATAGAATAAACACATAGAAAGTAAAGAAAGAGCCAAAATAAGGGCAGAAACTTTAGAAAACAAACATAATAAAAAGGCCAATATTTCTTTCTTTCTTTTTTTTTTTTTTTTTTGAAAAGAAGAGAAGATAAACTTCTGGTGACATTGATCAAGGAAAATAAAGAAAAAAAAGGTGCAAATCAGAATTATTTACGATGAGAAAGGGAATGTAAGCATGGGGCTGTAGAGGCCATAAGACGGCACGAGGAATGATTTTATTCACCAATATATCTATTCAACCATGATTGGGACAACGTAGATAAAATATAAAAAACAAGCCAAGAAGAAATACCAAGTCTAAAAAAGTCATTAAAGAAACTGAATAATAAAAACCTTCCTCTCCCATAAAAAAAACCCTTCCCACGAATAAGATGCCAGATCTAGATGTTTTTACAAGCGAGTTTTACAAATATCTGTGTGACTAATAATGTTAACAGTATGCAAACTATTTCAGAATACAGAAAAAAAAGGATACCCAGGTGTTCTTTTGTTTTTGTTTTTGTTTTTAGAGAGAGTCGATGAGGAGGGGCAGACGGAGAGGGTGAGAGTGAATTTTCAGAAGGCTCCATGCCCAGCACAGATCCCAACACAGGGCTCATGACCCTGAGATCATGACCTGAGCCACAACCAAGAGTTGGATGCTTTAACCAACTGGGCCACCCACGTGCTCCAACATCCAGTTTTATTTTTTTTTTTTTTAAATGAGGCTAGCCTTGCCTTAATATCAAAACCTGACAAGAATAGTATGAGTCAGAAAAATCATAGACCATCTTCCTCCTTCACACAGATGCAAAAATCCTACCTACAATATCAGTAAATTGAATCTAGCAAGTATTAAAAAATACACCCTGATCAAGTTGGATTTTTTCCAGGAATTAAAGGTTGGATAATTAACATTAGAATACTGACGTCCATAATTCACCACATTGTCAATCTAAAGGGGAAGAATTCTGTAATACTCTTCAGATTATGTGATACAGAGAAAACATCTAATAAAATTCAACCTTTATTCATGATTTTTGCAAAATATCTTAGCAAATTAGGAATAGGAGGGGATTTCCGTCATCTGGTAAGGGCTACCTAAAAAACCCAGCAGTAGATCCATCTTTGGTGGGGAAACCAGGAAAACATTCACTTAAAGATCAGAAACAAGACAAGGATGTCGAGTTTTCCAATGTCATTGTTTGTTTGTTTTTTTCCAATGTCATTGTGATGGCTACAAACATCATCTATTTGGCCAAATCCCAAACTTCATCACTTTAGGCTTTTGGAGATCAATGCAAAAAGAGACTCATAGTTTCCCACTATCTCTCTTGGGAAGGAAAGAATATACAAAACCAGCAACTCCTTAACTAGGAAAAGAGGCAAGGGAGATAGTCAACCCTTGAACAACATAGGTTTGAACTGCATGAGTCCACTTATGTGCATTTTTTTTCCAAAATATATATTGGAAACATTTTCGGAGATTTGTGACAATTTGAAAAAAATATGCAGATGAACTGGGTAGCCTCGAAATATGGACAAATTAAGAAAAAGTTAGGTATGTCATGAATGCATAAAATATATGTAGATAACTGATCTATTTTATCATTTGCTACCATAAAATGTACAGAAATCTGTTATAAAAAGTTAAAATTTATCAAAACTTAGGCTCATGAAAAAAAAAAACTTAGGCGCATGAACACAGAACGTACGTGGCGCCATTCACAGCGTATCCTTATGTAGGCCTAAGATAAGTGATATTTAATGTAAAATTATTAATGTATTAGTTTTCTGATTTTTATAATTTTGCTTTCAAAGAATTGGAGGAATTACGAATCAGTCTATCATCACACGTTTTTTAAAAAGTGCAATAAGGTCTCTGATGCTGTATTATGAACATAATCGTATTAAAATTTTATAATAATTCATTTATTAGTGTATAGGCTGGGCTACAGTGAAGCAACTGTATCTGTTACACTAGGCCACCCCAAAGCAACCTTATTGTCACCTCTTTGTTACCAATGCATGAATCATGATCCCTGTTAAGAAATATGAATTTCGGGATCCCTGGGTGGCGCAGCGGTTTGGCGCCTGCCTTTGGCCCAGGGCGCGATCCTGGAGACCCGGGATTGAATCCCACATCAGGCTCCCGGTGCATGGAGCCTGCTTCTCCCTCTGCCTGTGTCTCTGCCTCTCTGTCTCTCTCTCTGTGACTATCATAAAAAAAAAAAAAAGAAATATGAATTTCTTTTTCATATTATCTTTTCACTTTGGGTGTCTAGTATTAGTAATATGTATCGATCTGAAGTGTGTGTGGTGGTTTTTTTTTTGGTCATATAAAGTAACACTGATGTAGGTACTAATAGATGATTGGTCTTGTAAAGATATGATGTAAACTTACGGTATCGATAAATACAGTGCAAGACTGTACATGTATTTTCTCTTCCTTATGATTTTCTTAATAACATTTCTTTTTCTCTAGCTTACTTTACTGTAGGAACACAGTGTATAATACGTATAACACAGAAAATATGTGTCAATCGATTGTTT